GTAAAGGTAAGATAGACCTCGTCGAGATCTATCATTTGATATTAAATCTGTCAAAATATCTTGTGCTGGAGCCGAGTTATATGCCGGCCAGCCATCTGCCGGGGCCAGCCCGTTTGCAACTATGATTTGTACCTCCAAATCGATTATTTCGTACCCCTAAATCATTTTTACCCCAATGACTCAAAAATTTATGTACCCTCCAAACTATGTGCTGTTATTGTAGTAACTTTAGAAACCGATTTTCTTCAACAACACCAATATTGTGTCGGAACGAGGAGAAGCTCATGGTTTGGTTCATGAGAATACTATTGCAGCATTCCGTCAGGTAAAATGTTCAGGAAATTCAAATTTAAAAAGTCCTGAGAGTGAATCAACCCTCATTTTCAACCCTCATTCTTAACGTTAGCAAATCATTTGAGCCAATTTCCTTTCCCAAGTTCTTTGAGCCAGTGAAATTTTACTTCTAACTTAGAACCAATTTTTCTCTTTTTCTGTAAAAGATATCAAAAGGTTGTCAACTGATAGTCATTTTTTCATAATATTACAAACATTTTGTCCGTTGACATATTTCTCATATCTCTCTTACGGACCGAGATAATTGAGCTTAAACTTGTGGGCGCCTTCTATAAAATTTTAGGGTGTCCGGATTATATTTTTTATCCTCAAATCTACTTCGACCCTTTAAGGCTAAACAAAATGGAGCAGATACAATCAAAATGGATGTCCGAATGACCAAAGATGGAATGATCATCGTCCTCAGACCGGATAGCATTCTCACTGACAACGCCACCTACGCAATAAGTGAGACTCATTGGATTCAAATAAGCCAGCTTAATGTCTATGGGTGAGAACTAGACCTTAGGGTTCGATCAACTACAGTATTCTAGTGGCAACAATGGAACAATTCTATCATTCGACGAAGCTGTGTCATGGTGTGAGGCCAACAAGATGAACATGATTTGGCACCTTCCTGACTTTTCTGGCGATGTGAGTTATCGAAAAAGAAATCTAGAAATTTTTAGACCAGTTTTCAGCTGCTCACATACCTCCGCAACAAAATCATGCAGGACAGCTTGTATAGCAAGGTTGCCGTGACAACTTATCACTCGTTGGTGGCCCTGAAAATGCGTTTTACGGATACACAGTTGTTGATAGGTACGGAGGCTAGAAGCTTCAAAAGATCAGAAGCTAAAGTATGACTAAATATTTCAGGACTGGTCTGGAAAAGCAATGAGTTTTCAATTCAAAATGGAACTGCTACTGGGACAATGTACACTGCTTGGTTCTTCTCGATGATGGATTCATTCACCTATTGGGGAGTTAGGTATACTGTAGATATGTAGAATAGAGGACAATATATAATATTTCAGATCCCTCCTGGTTCCCAGTTTCCTTGGAGTCGATTTCTTGGTGACCAGTGTCGAGGATGCCGATAGAGCTTTGATCCTAGAGTCCGCTGCATCTGGTATCAAAACCATTATCTATGATATGGCTACAGTTCAAGAACGGAACTATTTTGCACGTCAAATGCAGCTTCCAATGATTGTCGATGATCTTGTCGAGCTACTGGGAACAACCTCTCCGGCGTCCGCTTCAAATAATTCTAGTCGAAAATCAAACAGATTTTCGTAAAAATTGATTTTTGTTTGTTTCTATTTTTTCCAGCGAACAAATAAAAATCTCAGTTGAAATTATTTGTTTATCTAGACAGACAAGAATTGCAGAACTACAGGAACTAGTACAAAGAAGGAGTATCGTTATAGGGGAAACCGTAAGAAACAAAAAGTATTTTGTGAAATAAATACAAAAAGGAAGTCATGGGTTCGAGAAAAAAGAGACTACAGTAATTCTAAATTATCCTACAATCTTGCCGGCATTGTAGTAGCATGAATGGCGTTTAGAGTCCATTGTTCGATGTCATATACGGCTTTTGATGCTTCGTAAAGCTCGCTGTGGAAGTTGAGCATTGCATGGAACCCATTTTCGTAGTTTATAGTGGTTGTGGAGACACCGGCAGTCTGGAAAATGATATTACGTTTTTAGATAATCCCTAACAATTCATTTTCACTATTTGCGAACAAAGAACGTGCATGAATAGAAAAAACACGGCTAGCCAATGCCAATTTTAATGAGGTTATCGAATCAACACAAAGATTTTCAAAAAAAAAAAAAGAGAATTGTACCCAGCGGTCATTGATATGGCTATACAAATTGATCAGAAGTGAATTGCCTATATTTCTTGGTGTCTAGCATGATCGGAGACCACTGTTTTTATCAAAAACGTTTAAACTGTCAAAATGGGTAAAATCTTACAATCCACATTTTTATAATTAACAAGATTTGGATACTTATATAAGTTTTCCAGATAAAACACTTTTCAAGTGGCCCTACTGCTTAGAACTATTTAATTTTTCAGAAAATTGTTAACTGACAAAATTTGTGAAATCTTACGTTTTACATTTTCATAATTCACAAAAATTTGATAGCTATGTAATGTTCTAATTATACTAATTTGAAAAAAGACATTTCTCTTTTGCTCACCTCTAATCTATGTGCATATATCAGTCCTTCATCCCTTAGAACATCGAATTCACAAGTGACAACCATTGTTGGGGGAAGATTAGAAACGTCTTTTCTCATCATAGGCGAAAAATCCGGATTCGTCAAAAAAGGCTCCATTAACTGTTGAGCCTCGTGGCTCGGACGAACCGCCCATCTTTCTGGGATACTGCTATTTTTGTACCTTCTTGTAGCTTCGATGGTTTTTTCGAAGGACATTATCTATCATTTTTTTGATGAAAATTTCAAACAACAAGATTATGTTTTACCTCATCAACTTCCTGTTTCAAATGATCCGCAACATGTCCGTTTGACATCACACTTGGTACCAGGTACGCTTTTTCGTCCATATTGATTCCAGCATAGAACATATAATAATATGCCACTGACTCAGGATCCACCAATGCGTACCCATCAAGTCGCGAATGGAAATAACGGTAGGATGCGGTCTGCATGTCAGCCATTTGAAGAAGTGGGTAGATCAAAACTTGTCCAGCTAGTTTTGGAGACGCATTGCGAGCTGCCCTTCGTTGTGCGATAACTGTAGCCAAGTTCCCGCCTGCTGAATCTCCCATAATCACCATTTTAGAAGTGTCGATCCCGAATTGAGCTGGTCCATATTGTATAAAATGTTCGATAGCAGCTTCACAATCAAGAATACCACCAGGGAAGACTGTTTCAGGAGACAAGCGGTATTCAATTGAAATAAACAAGGTCTTCATCTCATAGGCCATTCGTTTAACCAGCGAATCGTACATATCAACATTTCCAAGTGCAAATCCACCGCCATGAATGAACAGGACAACTCCATCCGTCGAAGTTTGGTTATTCAGTGGGCGGTAGACTTTGACTGGTGTCCCATTCCATGTCTGCCATTTGATTTCTATCTCACCGTGAGTGTTTACAAGGAGGCCGAGAGATTTGGAAAGGAAGTTTAGGGCTCCACGGGTCCATTGAACCATACTGCTGGCTTTTGAGAACATGTGACTCTGGAAATGGGGTTTTGTTTGAAGGTTTTCGATATAGAATGGGTGTTGTTTCTGTTCAAACTTGTTCGTGAAACAATTTGGATGATTTAGATCACTTCTCTGTACAAAATTCCCTATATTTTCATTCGGGAATTTTTGAGAATCTCAAAATTTTGGGATCATTGTGGTCAATATTGTGGGTTCTTGTGCCTTTAAAGGAGTGAAAACATTTGAAACTTGTATTGACTCTAAATTTACGTTTGTATGTAGTTTTACATCATCATGCGAGGTCAAACAAATAAATAAATGGGGCACAAAGCAATTTAGGGGTACAAAATCTCTAATTAGGGGTTAAAAATATATAAAGTAATCCGAATTTCGTACCGCTAAATTGTGGAATTTGTGCGCCTAAGTCACACATTTTTGGGGGCCCGTGTATCCGCGAATTGCTATGTGTCAAAAAATCAATAAATCCCTCACCGGATAGTAATACGTCACTCTCAGTGCTGGCTCCACAATATGCATAACTGCCCGATCCCACGTGCTGACCGTAAATCCATCCGGAAGAGGTTTATACAATGAGTAGCACGTTGTGAGTAAGGCTATAGTCGCTACACAAACTATAATATATCTCATTCGAGTTGATTCTCTTTTTTCTTTGCTCATTTTTTAACTGGTCTGAAAAGATAATAATGGGTAATTGTCAAGTATCTAGCATATTCGGAATTCAAAAGAAAAATTTAGGAAAAGAAGAAAGAAGAAGAAAAAGAGTTATTGGAAACCATTTAGGCTGACGAAGAATTCTCAAGGCCATAATAATTATTACCACCTTTCCTTAGGACCCTCTAAACTGTCTGCGAGAGATCATAAGGAGTAGAGAGACGCAGACACCACAAGATGACCGTAAACTAATAAAGGTGAGATTTGAGGGTCCGATGGGGATGACATATTGATCCCCATCTGTCCGAATAACAGACAGTTTCACGTAGAATACGATGATACACGTTTTTCGCAGAAAAGGACAAGTTCTAGATAATTATGTATTTTCGAAATTAGATATGTTTATCACTGACATCATGAAGTTTCAGAAAAAAAATGTAGTTTTTTTTTCAAAATAACAAGAAAGGAATCTTTAAAAAAAGAACTAAGAATCGAACGAAAGATAACATCTAATGATTCTTGTGCCTTTTAAAACATTTGGAACTTGTAGTGACTCTAAATTTACGTGTATAGTTTCGAATCATACAAATTTTGAAAGGCGAGGTCAAACAAATAAAGAATTCTTTTAAAAAACTAGGAGGATAACACGAAATAGGATTAGTTGAAGTCATTTACGTGGAACGACCGCTGGCATCAGATTATTTTTACGCTCTTTCAGGTTTTTTTCTATTAATTTCTCACTTGAAATAAGAATGATAGGGTTACCATCTACCCGGATGTTCCCTAGAGAAAGTGAAAAACAAAATCTTGATTCCCAAAAAAAAAAAACTAACAGGACGACATTCTTGAATTTTTACGCCTTCTGACTGAAAAATTCTGATAAGAAAAAGGCGAGAAGGAAGGACCAACACATATTACAACAGTACGAATTTTCGAGAAGGAAGGGCGGAGAAAATAGGAAAAATGAAGAATTGCGGCGAACTGAAGCGGTCAACAATAGTTTCTTAGCTGAAAATGTTTCAAGGTTGCTGACCGGTAAAATTAGGGGGAAGTTTCGGAAAAAGAAGTGTAAACTGTTTGAAGGTTAAATGAAATGGGAAAAGAAGCTTTTAGATGAACAAGAAGAAGTCAAATATACAGCAAATGTGAAAACAAAAGAAGTAGAGAAGGAACCAGAAGTTTAGAATAACAGTGTTTGTATATGTTGTCAGATAAAAATCGATATCAGAATGTTCCTTGCATAAAATTCCTTGCATAGTTGAAAATTATCACTCTTTGCAAACGTCCTAATTGAATAAAATTGAATTTTCTAATCAAAATAATTAAAATGTGTCGTCCAAATTAAAAGAAAATAAGGCCCACAATTCTTTGTAAAACTGAAAGCAGGTTCAATGAATTAACGTCATTATTCTGCCACACACCAAAACATGGACAGCTAGCTTCTGCGTTTTGCCAAAAACATCGTAACTACTAGAATTTGAACTGTTTCCTATATATTTCTCATGCTGTTTGGTTTAAATGGTTCTCAAAGGAAAAAAAAGTTGAATGGATGAATTCAATAGAAAAAGAATCATTATGTAAATCAAGTTTGTCGAATTTTCGTTGGTCAGTTTCTAGGTTTCAAAAAAAAACACAAATTGTAAATTCAGATTTCAATGATGGACATTTTAACTAGTTTGCACAAACGACAAATACATTTTTTGATCTATTTTTTGTGATTTTTCGTGGTCATTTGTGTCGGAGTATTAACAGGTAAAATAACATAATTTTTGTCCTTCGTGCAAAGGCATAGTTACAGTACCCAATCATTAACGAATTCTATAAATCTGGACCACGCTATAATACGGAAAATCTAGATTTTGGATCTTGTTGGTCAGTTTCTAGTTTTGAAGGAAACACAGAAGGTCAATGCCATGGGGTTATCGTAAAAACTCTAATAGAACCCCATCTAAAATGTCAACTTTGAGCCCATATATCTCATTTTTTGTGAAAGGTACTAAAAAGTCATCAACTAACAAAATGCTCATTATAATTTGAACTATATTTTATCAGGTTGGCAATTTTTTGATATCTTTGATAGGAACCGAGATAAATTGGCTTGAAGGTAAAAGTAGGGATAAAAAGTCATTCTATTCGAGTGGTTACGGTATTCGTCATACTAAATTTGGTATTTTAACAAATTATATTCACTTACAAGCGACAAAAATTGTTTTATTCAAACATTTTTTTTCAATCCGAAATGATTAAAATATGTAATATGGACCACTCTGCAAAACGCAAATGATAGATTTCTGACCTCTCAGATCAGACTAGACTACAAATGGATTGTGAAAGAGGAGATATCTAAAAAGCATCAGTGTTCATTTCTTTTTTTACACTAAATGACTCATACGACCAGCAAAACTTCCAACCCCTCCCGCTTTCCTTTTTCCTTTCGTTTTTTATCCCATTTCTTCTTGTTTTTCTTTTTTCCCCATCATCCCGCCCACACTTGTCCGTCCGTCAAAAAATGTGAAAAGTAATTCATTTATTAGGTTGGCGGGAAAGTCTTTGTCACTCTGTTTGTTTAATCACTGTTCTCGTATATGGAGGCTGTGTATGATATCGACTCTAGTGAATAACAAGATGATAAGAACCTTCCATATAAACAAGTCCCATCTCCTTCCCTGCTCCTCATCTGTAATTGAAACGATATGTTTGTTCCCACTGCTATTCACATCAGACATGTTTTGATTTACCTCTTCCTATCTCACACCACGATGAAGGATTCGGAAACTTTCTTGAAGAATGTGTACAACACACATGCCCCTCACTACAATACTATTCGCAATTGGTTCCATCGTTTCGAAAAAGATGACTTCTCGCTCGATGAAAAGGATCGCTCTGGGAGACCCCGTGAGTTGGATTTGGACAAGCTGAAGCACGCATTGCAATCGGATCCATTTCAATCTAGCCGTGAACTAGCTGTCACATTCGGAGTTCACCATAGCACAGTCCTTGAAGGTTTGAAGTCTCTTGGAATGAGAAAACTTTTTGGTCGATTCATACCTCATCACCTGACTCAAGCCAACCTTGACCGCCGAGTCGACGATTCGATTACTCTTCTCACTCTCCACGCGGGCGATCGATGGCTGGACCGGCTAATAACCGGAGATGAGAAGTGGGTCTTCTACGATAATCACCACAGGAAATCCCAGTGGGTTGGAGAAGGAGAGAGCCCACAGGATGTCCCCAAACCCGACCTTCATCCGAAAAAAGTTATGCTCTCTGTGTGGTGGGGAGTGGACGGCCCCATCTACTGGGAACTTCTGCCCGAGGGCAAAACAATAACTGGAGACCTCTACACTACTCAACTACGAAACCTCAAGAAAGCAGTCGACCGTTCGGCCCTGAAAGACAAGAAAGTGTACTATCAACATGATAACGCTCGCCCACATGTTTCGAAACAAGTGAAGCAGGAGCTGATGGGATATGGATGGAATGTTCTCCCTCACCCCCCGTATTCTCCTGATCTTGCTCCTTCCGACTATTGGTTATTTGGCGATATGACACGTGCCTTCGAAGGAAGAAGCTTCAATTCCCGTGGAGCGGTCGAAGCGGCACTCAAACAATACTTTGCCTCACGCCCGGCTGGATTCTACCGCAATGGAATCCATAAATTGAGGGAACGTTGGAGACATGTTGTTGATAATGATGGACAATATAATTAATTATTCGGTTATTTTTTCTTTGAGAAATAAACTATTGAAAAAGTGACAAAGACTTTCCCGCCAACCTAATAAATGCATAGTTACAAACAAAATGGTTTTGAAAAAGAAGCAAAAAAGGCACGAGAAATGACAAAAAGCGAGATGTAAACTTTTAGAAACAAAACGATAAATAGATAGCCACATCAACACAGAAACAAAATAAAGCTAGAATGGATACTGTCCAACATTAATGAGGATGAGGAAAAGTGTTTCTTTGGGAGCATGAAGTTCATTCGTGGCATGGTCTGAGTGAGCTCGGACACGAACTTTACGGTGGTCACCGGCTGCCAGAATTCTGTTGGTCCACACTTGTGCGTGTCCAGCCTTCACTTCTCGGATGTTGAATGGTCCAGAACTCATTCTTCCTGAAAAATTGGTGAATTGAAATTTGGCATTTTCATCTCATTTTTCGGCTTCCAATGACACATCACGTCAAAATGAAGTACAGCGATAAAGTTGTCAACTACAAAAATGAAGGCATTGTCTAGTTTAGTAAATTATGCAATTTTCAGACAAACTGGACGATTCTGAACCATTTTTTAGGGCTTTAAAGTTGCCTATCCTCGATTTAAAAGTGTAAATATAATTGATTTTTTTTCATCTATTATGTGAAAATTGATAGTGTAGAGACCCTTACCTCTTCCCATTGGTCCTTCTCTGTCAGAAATGGAGTAGGTGGTGTCATTAAGCACTTTTCCGCTCTTATCGTATGCAGTAAGTGTGGCAATGTGGGAAACTATAAAAATTAGAGAAATATACACTGACTCTTCAAAAACTTTACCTGGTAATCCACTTGGAATAGCCAGCATATGCACTTGAATCGGTGTCAAAGTACAATTCTCGCACAATGGTTCACAATATCGGTCATCCACCAGCGTATAATTGGCCGGGCACGGATCTTCAATACACTCGTATCCTCCAAGCTGATTGAAGCACGCTCTTCCTTCTTCACATCTCACTGACTCACACTCATTGATGTCTGAAACGCAAAATCTTAAATTTATGAATCCATTTCACTGAATTCACCGTAGCATCCATCATCAGCAAGTTCATATCCAGGTGGACAACGGCATTCGTAGCTGCCTTCGGTGTTGATACATTCAAAATCGCATGGAAGATGGAATTGACACTCGTCGAGGTCCTCACAAACGTTGGTGCGTGGATTGATGGCGTAACCCTCTGGACACTTGTTCTCGCCGGAAAGGATCTTCAAGCGGTGGTGGGTTCCATCGCCATCTGAAAAAAAGTCCCTAAAGCTTTTCGCTTTCAGAGTTTTATTATTCTATTTCCAATTAAAATATCCAAATATGATATTTTGTCCAGTACTGTAGGTCAAGAAATATAATAGCCTTTTTCTCCGACAAGTTTCGACTTTTGAAATGAACAAAGAGTGTGGTTCAAGGACTAGAGAACACAATTTTTGTGACTATGCACTTTTCCAGAACAACGGAAACATCCTATACTCACCAACACAATCACCATTCTCATTAATTGTTCCGTAACAGTCTGGGGTGTCCACAACGGCGTGTTGAGAATGCAAATCGGATTGTCTCTCAATCAAGACGTCATGTGTGGTTGGTCCGAATTCTGGATAGTTTGCACTTCCGTCATACATGTCCTCTGTTGGGAATTCAGGAGCCGATTTGATGGTCAACACTGAAAATGATTTTATAGTGATTGTTGGGATATAATGAACTTGACAACTACCGTAACTCGTCTAGTAGAAGCAATCCAACCCGTCAACTTCGAGCTCAATTATTTCGGTTTGTGTGAATGATTTCAAAAATTTGATAACTGATAAATAATTGGTGATAACATGATAAATAATTTATGAGTTTAGAAATTTCTGCTATCTTTTGGAAGAACCAAGATAATTAAGCTCTATGTTAGAAATTTTTCATTAGACGAAATAGACAATTTCCAGATTAAAATAAGAATCAGAAATTTTGAAAAAAAAGTTCTTATAATTACCTCTGGATGGCTGTGTTGTATGAACATCTGGAGCTGTAGTCGTCGTAGTTGTCATCTGGAGTTGTTTTTCCCGTTCCTCATCATCAACCGACGTGTCACGACGCGTTGGAACTCCTACATTTGAAGGCTCAGCAATTTCAACGCCACTTCCTTCGGAACCGGTCAGAGGCGTGATTTCACCGTCTAGAAACGTTGTTACGTCTCATGAAACCATGAGACACCCCACCGACCGGACCCTCGGAGTTTGGTAAAGTTTGTTTTACAAATATATAGGATGCAAGTGAATAACTAACACATGGTGAATGAATTATAATGGACAGAGAGGGTTACGGTCAGTGAGGGTTGTAGAGAATGTAGTGCAGTTGGTTGTGGGTGTTGGTGTAGTATATTGTCAGACAATGGACTGGTTAACTAGAACTTACCGTATACCGTGAGCTTAGTGTCATCGAATGCTTTTCCAATTGAATTGGAAGCAACACACTTGTAAACTCCCTCATCATATTTTTCAACATCTAACAACACCAAACTATTGTTGGGCAGCACGTAGATCGCCTCATCGTCCATCATCTTCTGATCATTCTTGGTCCATACAACATGCGTCGTCAGTGGATCACTGCTAACTTCACAGTCGATTACTGTAGAGTCTCCATTGTTCACTTCCACCCGGTCAACGGTCTTCACAGATGGAACTTCCTCGTAAACAGACTTCAGATGAGGAATTGAGTGACGTCGTCGGTTTCTGACTTTGCAGGTGTACAAGTCAAGATCTCCTTCTTTCAATGAGCTAGTGTCCAGGATAACTAGTGATCCGTTATTCATGAAATGGATACCGGCCAAGTTCTTCGGCATAGGGATTCCATTGTATTCCCAGGTGACTCCACGGCTGTAAGCTTGGTTCTTCTCGTAGCAGGTGATGATTGCCACGTTCTTCTTCACATTCATCGGGATTGGAGTGGGTAGAACGATGTTATCCACATTGACGAAAGCGGATACCTGAAAGTTGAGGAAGCACGAATGTACAGTACAGGTCAATTAGATATACAAAAAAGTACTTTTCAGTTGATTTTCGGTCATTTCACCATTATCAAGAGCCTGAAGCTCAGCTGTTAAGTGTCGGATCCTTTTGAAAAGTTGGGAAGGTGTGAAACAGACCAAAATTGAAAAATATGCATTCACAGAATTTTTCGAAAATCTCTAGTTTTTCATCTAGCCGCCGATTTCTGAAAGACACCATTATTCGTCCCGTTTTAAACCGAAACGGTGAAAAAATAGGCGTTTTTCAGAAATCGGCCAATGGTTAAAATACTGGACATATCTTAAAACCTGTATTAAAAGAGCTCTCTTTTACAGGGATCTTTCAATTCTTCTAGATGGGCCCTTCTAATACAGGTTCTACAGTATTTAAAAATTTTGTAAATGCAAAGTTTTTCTAATTTAGATTTTCGAAGTAATCGGAAACTTGATAGCCGACCTTCAGACTTCTGAAAATAGTAAAAACAACCGAAATCAACTGAAAATACATTTTTTGCAAATCTTATTGACCGATACGGTATATATTTAACTTACAGTACTAGTTCCAACACTATTCTGTGCCAAACAAGAATATTCTCCAGAGTCCGAAGTACTATTCAATTCCAGTTTCAAATGGGAGTAGGCAATTTCCGTCTTATCATTCTCAATAAGTTTCCCATCTTTTGCCCAAGTGATAACTGGGTTTGGTGGGCCTGCTGCAGAGCATCGGAGCTCAATTACTGCTCTAACAGCAGCGGTGGTGTTCTTGGGCTTGACAATAAACTGAGGAGCAGCATGGAGGAGAACAGTTCTTGATGATCTTGGTCCTGGCATACATCTATAAGCAATGGATCCATTGAGAGACGAGTCTTCGACATCTTTCCATGGAAGAAGTTGTGGATTGTCATCTGGAGTGTCTCCTCTGTCAATCATGTACTCGGTCTTCTTTGGTTTTCCCTTCTCGTCGCATTCTACCCAAATTGGAGCTGGTCGGTCGGATGGTTCTATAATAGAAAAATGGTTTTATGAGAAAAGGACCTGCAAAAGGACTCACTGTTCACAATAAGCTTTCTGGTTGCGATCTTTTGTCCGGCGTCTGACTTAGCAATACAGTAGTAGAAACCATCATCATCAGGTAGAACATTTCTAATTGCCAAAGTGGTTCCAAGAATTTGGTATTCTGAAAACAAAAGCTTCCAACACTGCAGCACTAATTAATGACTCACTCTCATTGTTCTGAATGGCAATGTTCGAGTCTCTCATCCAACTAATAACTGGTTCTGGAATTCCAGTCGCGTTACAAGAAAGGAAGACGGTTTGACGAGGATTTGTTGAGACGTTCATTCGTTCTGGAGACACTTCAGGAGAGACTGAAAAGAAATTTGAGTTTGGGGACCATGGAAGAGCTCTACTCACTCATCACAATCAAATCCACATCTTCTTCGGTAGCTCCAACCCAATTCTCAGCTTTACAGGTGTAGACACCAGCTTGAGACGGGGTGATGGAGGAGAAGATGACAGATTTCTTTTTGGTAGTGGCAGTTTCATCAATTCCAGTATTTGAAAGAAGTTGCTCATCCTTGTACCATGAGATTGATGGCTGTGGAACTCCAGATGCCTCACACCACAACGTCACTTGTTCTCCCTTATGAACCACTTGAGTGCTAGGCCTTTCCAGAATCTTCGGAGCCACTCCAACATTCAAACTAGTGACTTGAGTGGCATTTCCAGCTTTGTTGGCTACGGTGCAACTGTATTCTCCTTGATCCGAGAGTCGTGTAGAGGTGATAACCACAAACGTCTTCTTCTCTTGGAATTCGATAGTGTTGGATGGGAGAAGTGGTGCACCATTCTTGGTCCAAGTGATTTCCGATTGGTCGGCTTCAATATCGCACTTGATTCTAGTCTGTTCGCCTTCAGATCCGTTCAAGGAGCGGACACCAGAGCTTCCGATCTTTGGAGCGACTGAAAATAAATTTTGGAGAGATTCGACAATATTTTGGAGTACTCACTAATAGTGTGAACCTTATACTCCAAATGATCAAGTCCTGCATCATTCTTGGCAGTACACTCGAATGTCATCGTTCGCTGCTCGGCCTTCTCAACATGTAACGTTCCATCGGAATCTAAAAAAAATATAAAACTGAAATACCGTATTCTCTATAATAGAAGCCTATTCAAACAGTCAACTTTGAGCTGAATTATCTCGATTTCTGTTGAAGATATCGAAAATTTGTCAACTGATGAATCATTTATCATATATCACCATTACTTCATCAGTTGATAATTTTTCATTTATCACAGAAATTGAGATAATTCAACTGAAATTTGGCAGCTTTGGTGGGCTGCTTTTAAAGGGAGTACGGTAAGCCTAAGCCTAACTCAAAAAAACTTGCTCACCGATTTTGTAGCCCATAGTTCCATTGAAAATATTCTTTCCATTAACAGTCCAACTGATAATCGGTTCTGGATATCCGCGGACTGCACATGGCATTGAGAATCCAGCATTCGAAGACGGTGTAAGTGTCTCTGGTGCAACTGATACAATCTTGGGGAACACCAATACTTCAAGTGTGTATGCTTGTTGAGCAGATCCAGCTTCGTTGGTAGCCGAACAGAGGTAGATTCCAGAATCCAAGCTTCGTGCTTCAATGATGGTCAGTTTTCTGCCTTCAGCCATGTATCTGACTCCTTGAACGCCAGTTTCCACACGATTTCCGTTGCGAAGCCAGGAGACTTGTGGAGCTGGATAGCCCTCGACAAGACATTCAATCACAGCGAGCTCTCCTTCAATGACTTGCTCAGTTCCACCATTGGAAATCACCGGAGCTTCTGGAAGTTCATTTTAATCAAATTCAATTGGGAATTCAGAGTTGTGAGAGATACAAAAACTTACGAACTACATCCACATTGTACATGAGACTATCAGATCCAGCGGAATTCTCTGCATGACACTCATAAACTCCCTTATCGCTGAGTGAAACATTGTTGATTTGAATGAACGATGCATCAGTTCCAATTGTGATTTCCTTACTGGCCTTGAGTTCAGTACCGTTGAGTGTCCATTTGATTTTTGGAGGTGGTTTTCCTTGAGCTAGACAGTGAAGAGTAAGGATTTGAGAAGCTGGAAGTCTTGGCGACATATCAATTCCATCTCTATTGATCTCTGGTGGTACCAATACGTCTACTGAGATGCTACCCTCTGATGTTCCAGCAGCATTCATGGCTTGACACGTGTAATCTCCAACATCGTGCTTCTTGAGATGAGGGATATCCAAACGAGCACCCTTCAAAGAGACTCTTGGTCCATCTGGAGAGTCAAAGATCATCGCTCCACCCTTGAGCCACTTCATTTGTGGTGGTGGGTTGCCGGTAGCATTACAGAAGAGAGTGATGGTCTCACCAACGGCCTTGATTGGGTTTTCAGAGTGAACTGAGACTTTTGGTGGGGTGAAGACATCCAGAAGCATTTCCAATTCCTTAACTCCTGCATCATTCTCAGCTACACAACTCCATTTTCCAGCGTGGGCTGAGTCGGTGAGCAGGATTTGAAGCGTTTGACCTTGCTCCACAATTCTAATGTTTTCATCCGCTGGAAATAGAAATTTTTAAAATTATTCAATCGTTTCAAATCTTACATGTGACCTCTACACCATTCTTCAGCCATTTGATAGTCGGGAATGGGTGTCCAGTGACAGGGCATCGCAAAATCGTTGGCTGATTGACAGCGACTTGTGGTTGAGCCTCATTTCTAGTGGTATCGATGATAGGTGGAGCTAAAAATTTTTGAATCTAGTTAAAAGATTTTGAATTTAAAAAATCACAACGATTTTACAGCATATCACACTAAAAATCCAGAATCACGGCAAAATATTTACACGGTTTATTAACACAACACACCAGAAAATACACTGCACAACATTAGTTTAAAAAAAAAGACAAAGGACAAGCCAGAGTCGCAAAGAAAGAGGAATCCTGGAAATGAGAAACAGATCAAAGTTTGGAGAAATAAATAAAAAGTAGGAGCCATAACTTAAAATACATATCAACAATTTCATAGTCTCTTAGCCCTTCGATGATTTAGGGGGTAATTAAGGAAGCCTTTGCTATTAGGTGGCAAATTTTCTGCACTCTTCTCACGGAGGTATACATGTCTAATTGGGTCGTAAAGGAAGCAACGGGTGACAGGACGAACTCGTTTCATACGGAATCTTCTAGTTGGGTGTTGTACGGTAGCCTTAACCTTCATTACCCCGCTAGCTCCGGTTGGATGACCAAGTTTAGGATTATAGGCCCAGGGAAATTGGAATTCAGTGGTACTAATAGAGGTTGGAGTGGTTGTAGTAGTAGTTGGAATAATTCTAGCAGCACTCTCTTTTTTAATTCTCATCTCCCAATACTCATTCTGGCGACGGATGCTCTCATCACGCTGTCGCTTTAGTCCTTGTTCATACGTCTTTAAGTACTCCTCATACTTTCGCATGTGTTCACGATACGCGGCGTCTGACTGCGGCGACGACGTGGCAGACGTTGGTTTTTTGGTGGTTACAACATGCGGCATATGGCGAGCAATATAGTTATTTTCGAGCTCACGACACTGCACGGTTGCGAGATGCGTACACAGAATTTCCACTTTGAACTCGAGAGTTGCTTCGCCGGCACGATTCAATGCGATACATGTGTACATTCCAGCATTGACCAGAGATGCTTTGTCGATTGTCAGCTTGCGGCCGTCGTCGGAGATCTGGAATTATTTTTGGAAAATAATCAAAGGTTCCTTGAATCCTTCAAAACCTGATTTTCCTTTAAATCAGAATTTCATGATCAATTAAAATTTTATGATCTAACTTGTTGGTTCTACTCGGTTACTTTGGTCTTCAAAGGAACTCAAATTTTGAAAAATCTTTTTTGTTTTTTTAGCGCTATTTCCGAAAGCCTCAAAGGACCAGAAGAAATTCTAAGGATCGAAAAAAATGTAAGGACGAAAACAACGGCTAGATCCAAAAGTTTAATCTTACATGAACATTATCAGTTTCCACTCCATCCAGCGCCACACTATCCTTGGTCCAAGACACGTCCATCACTTGGTCAGCAACATCCTCAGCTGTCTTGATAGGACACGTGAGTGTGATAGTGTCTCCTTCTCGTTTGATTGTTGGCTGAGTTCTATAGAGGTCGAAGGAAGGTGGAGCTGAAAATTTTAATGAAAATTAACATTCCTCAGCTTCCAGCTACACTGCGCATATTGAAAATGACTCACATAGAACATCAAGATTGAAATCGTGTGCAATCCGTCCTCCACGATTCACAGCAGTACAAGTATACCTTCCGGCATCTGTCACTTGAACCTTCTCAATTCCGAACGTCTCATTATTCTGAGCATAGATGATTCTGCTATCAGTGGCGTTGATATCTCTTCCATCCTTGGTCCAGTAGACTTCTGGTTGTGGAATTCCGGTCACTGGACACTCAAGATAGATGTTTCTAGCGACAATAGCAAGTGGATTTCCAATGATATTGGACTTATCGATTCTTGGTGGTACCAGGATTCTAAGAATAACCTCGATGTCAGAAGATCCAGCTTCATTCGACGCTCGGCATGTGTATTTTCCTCCATCTGACAATCTGGCGGAATTGATAGTAATCTGGGATCCGTCCTCGGAAATAGTGTAGTGTGGTTGGATGTACAATGCATTGTCTCCACGATACCAGGCAATGTTTGGAAGTGGACGAGATGTAACTCCACAATCCATAGTTATATCATGATCTTCAATGACTTCATAGATATTCTCTCCTTTTCGATCGAAAGTTGGCTTTCCAATAACATCAACTGCATAATTTGTGCGCAATTGTCCAGCGTCGTTAATAGCTACACAAGTGTAAGCACCAGTGTCCTTTTCCGTAACTGTTTTGATTCTCAACACATCGCCGATCAATTCATAGTGCTTGCCGTCGATTATGATGTCGTCATCTCCCTTCTTCCAGTAAACTGTCGGAGTTGGATTTCCAAGAACCGGACACTTCAAATCAATTTTTTCACCGGCCACTGCCTTTGGAGTCTGGTCGATGGCTTCATCAATGTATGGTTTGGTGAAGACGTTGACCTTGAAGTCTTGCTCATTTGCTCCGAAGGTGTTTTCAGCGACACAAGTGTAGAGTCCAGCATCCACACGTTTCGATTTCAAAATCATCAATGTGTCTCCTCGTGGCGACAGAATCACATTATTCATGTTAAGTGATCGACCTGCCTTGAGCCAGGTGATGGTGGGTTTCGGATGTCCATCAACTTTGCATTCGATTTTGGCATTATGACCTTCGATAATATTGAAAGTGGTCGTTTCTGGGTGGAAAGAAGGCCTGGTGTAAACGTCGAGCAAGAAATCAGCAACTGCACTTCCAGCTTCGTTGGTCGCCAAGCAGGAGTATTTTCCGTCGTCTTCTCTGGTGGCGTTCGAGATGGTAAGGACGCTGTTGTGTTCATCTGAAAGCAATTATTTATTTTTCTCTGTTTCTTTTTTTTCGTTTATTATGGCATTCAGATGGCAAATAATTCGTAGTGTACAAATATTTTGGGTCAATGGGGTGCAAAGCAATTTAGGGATACAAAATTCTCTATTCTGAGGCACAAAATACCTGAAGAAATAAAATTTGGTACCCCTAAATCACTTTGTACCCTTTCGTACCCCAAATTGTTGTGCCGTCCGAATTATATCGCTTAAAATTTGAAATTCTAAGGCCGAAGTCTCTTACCAAGCTCCTTTCCATTCTTCTTCCATGTGATCGTTGGATATGGTGTTCCACTGGCCTTGCAATTAATTTGCACCGGTTTCCCCTCTTTTCCATAAATCACTCTATCTTCGTCCTCGATAGTTGGAGCGACTGAAAACGTTGTTTATATTTATTTAAAATTCTGACACTTTCTGGAAGTTGCGTGCCGCACGAATATGAATATTGAAAAATGTGAAATACGAAAACTCACCCAAAATCTCAACTTCAGTGGTTGTTCTTGCTTCACCAGCCTTGTTGGTTCCGATGCAGGTGTATCTGGAATTTTCATTAATTTTTGAAAAATCTGAAAATTCGTTCAGTCCTACTTTCCACCATCTTGTAGAGTAGCTTCTCTCAGATGAAGGTAAGAGAGTCTGGTAGAATGCTGCAAGAGATCCGAGGTGTATGGTTCTCCATCCTTCAACCAGGACACTTTGGGTTCTGGCTCTCCGAAGACCTGAAATTCGTGTTTTTTTAAATAAATTAACATCTTACCCCACTAATAGTACCTAGTTTTTCAAACGAAAAGCCAAAAAAAAGTTTCTGGAGGTATGGGGAATTGAACCCCAGCCCTCTCCCATGCTAAGGGAGCGCTCTACCACTGAGCTATACCCCCGCACGTCTATGTCTCCTACTGATGGCAAACACATGCCAACTACCCGCATGATATTTCGCAATATTTTCTCTCTCCTTTTTTTTCAATGTTTACTTTTGTGGCGCCAGTGAAAACGAGACAAAAAACAAAAAAAAGTTTTCTGGAGGTATGGGGAATCGAACCCCAGACTTCTCGCATGCAAAGCGAGCGCTCTACCCCTGAGCTATACCCCCGCACAACTAGGAGAGTATGAATCGCGAATAAGAGAGGGAGACAGACGAGGCGTGGTGGAGAAAACGGGAATTGAGAAAAAGAGGAGGAAAGAAAATGTGTGTATGTGTTTATGTGTGTATGAGCGAGCGTGCGTTTTGTGTGGGCAACGAGGTGGTAAATGTATTTGAAAATTAGTTATACTAGGAAATGAGGAAAATTTTTAGTACCCGGTTTATATTGTTTCATGAACTTTCAAAGATAGAACCCTCTAACAGAAGGGCTAGTTCCCCTTTTCTATAAATATTATTCAACTTCATGAAGATATTATACTAGAAAGGACCATATGAAAAGTCACATTTTAGTACTTCTTTTTATCAAAATACTGTTCAAAAAATCCCTATTCTCAGTATTCGAAACTTCGCATGTGAGCTTAAAGCCAGTAGACCTTATCAATAGTAAGAAATTCAGAACTTTCAAAATTTAGAAGAATTCGAAAAAAGTTGGTTTCGCACACCCCTCCTTATTATAGCGTTTTCAGAATTATGATAAACCGTAAAACCTTTTTTAGAAAAGTTTTCTCTTATTGTAGAGTCCCTACAATAGAAGGGCTCTTTAGACGATCCTTAGAACAATACAATGGCCGGCGCCTACTGATACAGGACTTAAGATAACAATATTAAAAATATTTTTTTGCTACAAACTTCCAAGACGTTGGTAAGGAGCTACTTCCGTGTGAATTCGCGTTTTTGATGGTTTTCCGAAATTATCAACATTTAATCTTGGTTCAAAATCCCTAACCCCTCCCAAAAAATTATACTAACCTCACAACGAATTGTTGTTTGTCGTCCTTCCACAACTCTCATCTTATCAGAAGCCATAACAACTCTCGGCGGCTCTGCAACCTCATTAGTGATAGATATTAAGACTCCGTTTTTCACAAACCTGATATCTCCACATAGGTGTCTTGTTCGGCACGACCCAACTGATTATCAGCACGACACGTGTATCTTCCTTCTTGACTTGGCTTGATGTAATCGATGAATAGCTTTTTGTTGTTATCTTCGAACTGAAATTTGAAAAAAAAAATCTTAAAGAGTTAACTTGTAAGGTCCTGCTTACTCTAACATTTGCCATTCCTGGCAGAATTGGTTTTCCATCTAGCAGCCAAGTGATCTCTGGATCTGGTTTTCCTGTTGGCTGACAGTTCAGCTCCATAGTTGTGTTGGAAACAATTTCAGTGGTGCTGAAAGCTTCTCCGGGTATGGTTGGTGGCTCTGAAAGCATTTACGTGAAGTTGAAAAATTTGTAGATGAATATTACTGAGTAGATTGACTGTGAAGACAGAACTATCCTGTCCAGCCTCATTATGAGCGCGACAGGTGTAGCGATCAGCATCGCTCTCTTGGGCTTGAATGATGAAGAGTTTGGTTCCATCTCCGGATATCTAGAAGAACTTAAGCTCGAGGTTATGGTGACGTGGATGTACCTGAGATCGGTTGGGATCAACTTTTCCAATAGCGTCCGTGTACCAATAAATGACCCGCGCTCCATTGGGGTTCTGAAATTTGACTTTCACAGTAGTTCCCTGTTTCCCTCTAAGACTCGAAATTTCCAAAATTTTTGCAAAGTGACTACGACGAAATCCGTTAGTCCTCCTCTTGGAGAGCTCTCAAAGTGCACTTAAATATTTCATGCGGTGGGGGACCCTTCGCTAAAGCGGCTCCCGCCATTTCGGACGGGGTTTGGGGAGCTATTTCTTCAAACATTCCCTTTTTGTCTCGAAAAAAAAGCGAAGAAAAAAGGAGAATAGGGAAAAACGACGGTGCCCCATCTTTATTCTAGATCCTATTGTTTAACCCCTTTCCATTCTATTCTCTTTCTCGTCTTTCTTCATTTTCGTATATTGGTCCTCTTTTTTTCATATATAGTGCCCGGGTCCCGGCTCTTTTTGAAACCAAAGAAACGGGCAATGAAAAATTCAAATGGGAAAGACCGTTTGAAAACAACTCATGGTTTCAAACAATGGTCCGTTTTTTTATAAGAGAGCACAAACCTCAATTGGACATTCAAGAGTCAAAGTACCGCCTTCCTCAACATCGAATGTCTGATTGGCTTGTTTCATTTTTGGTGGTACTGAGAATTGAAATCTATTGAGATTCTATAAAAGTTTGCCAAACCTTGAACTTCCACAATCATGTCCTTCTCAGAACGTCCAGCCTTGTTTTCAGCAATACACGTGTATCTTCCAGCAGCCTCGCTCTAGAATTTTTGAAAATTAAATTTTATTTTGGCTATTGTGCCACCCGTTGGGCTTGATATCGGCTATTGGGTTATTGTGAATTTAGATTAGAATTGTTTGAAATTCAAGTATTCGAAATTAGGTACTGTAGTACTACCTGCTAGACTTATCTAATAGAAGTTTACCGAAACCGTCAACATTGAACTTATTTATCTCGATTCATGTTGAAGATAGCAAAATTGGTTAGCTCATAAAATAATGGTAACATCATGATAAATAATTACCCAGCTGACAGATTTTCGATGTTTTTTGTAGGGATCGAGATAATTGAGCTCAAAGTTGACAGCTTGGTTGAGCTTTAAATAGAAAAATACTGTAGATACTTAAAAAACTAATACACCTTGAAAAATGAAGAAATCTGATGTGAGATTTATCGTGAAGTGCAGTGAATTCATCAAAGTCGCACTAACAGTTTCAAGAATAGTCAGCTTTTCACTAATTGGCTAAATAATGCAATTTTTTTACTAAATAAATTTTTGAGGTTTCTTATCTCTATAATAAAAAAATCTCGTTTTCTAGACTTTTGAAATTCTGGGTTCTTCGGATTTTTTTTCTAATCATTACCATACTTTACTTTTAAAAAGCCTATCCAAACAGTCAACTTTGAGCTCAATTATCTCAATTCCTGTGAAAGATAGCAACAATTTGTCAACTGATAAATTATTGATCATGTTATCACCAATATTTTATTAATTGACAAGATTCTGATAACTCTCACGGGAATTGAGATTATTGAGGTCAAAGTTGACGGGTAGCTTAGACGAAAAACGGTTTTGCAAATTCGCTAGTTGAATTTTATTTTCGATTATCTGCTCCTAATGTTTTTCAAATTATTGGGAAACCGGGCCCNNCCCNNNCTCTNATTCTACCAACTCTATAAGCTATGAAAAATCAATGGAACAGTTGCTCAAACAGATTAAAAAGGAGAGCAAATTTCAACATTTTGAAAAAGTATGTCGCATTCTTCTTATTCTTGTTGGGGGTTGCCCCTTNCAAGATTATCTAAGATTATCCGCATTGGAAAGCCACGCGGTATATACACTTAGCTCTTGTTTTTTTTTTGCATATTTTACACGTTTTTCATCAGAGATGTAATCGAAAAAGGGCAGCAGATCCTTTTTGAGGCGAAGGCAAAAATGAAAACGGAATAAAAGAAATAGGAATAATGAAAATTTATAGAAAACGAGCTATATAGAAAACGCGAAAAAACATATAATTCGCAATATACATTCAAAAGGTATTGTTATTGGGTTTCGTGTTTCGTTTATCTTGTAGCTCGTTTTTTGTCTTCTTGAACATTGAACACTTTGAACTTCGAAAATGGAGAATGAAATGAAAAATTTCATACATGAGTCCCGGGTTGGAGGTTTTCAACGAAATTGGGGGGGGGGGCAGCACTGGGTAAGGCGTGAGAGAGGACAAAAGGAGGGAGAAAGAGATTGATGAATCATAAAAGTTAAAACGCGCGCCGTCACCTCTCGTGCAAAATTTGATGCCTTATTGTGCAGTTGAACTCAAAATAATAAAAATAGAGCTAGCTGAATTTTTCGGAAAGTTTTACAGTGCTGGTCAATACGAAAAACGTTTTTTTTTCAGTTGATATATTGACATTTTCAGGAGTCAGGAGCTCGGCTGTCAAGTTTTCAATCACTTTGAAAGATTTGGAGAATGTAAGAACAGACCTAGGTTGAAAAATTTGCATTCACACCATATTTTGAAGATTTCTAGTTTTTCAGCTATTTGCCGATTTCTGAAGACATTTGTTTTTTTCACGTTTTCAGTAAAAAACTGGTCAAAAAGGGGATAGTTTCAACAATCGCAAAATGCCTGAAAAACTAGGAATTCTCAAAAATTCTGTGAATGCAAATTATTAATTTAGGTCTGTTTTACACCCTCTAAAATTTTCAAAATGATCGGAAACTTGACAGCCGCAGCTCCAGATTTCTGAAAATGATGGAAATGGTTAAATAATAACAGAAAAACACATTTTTGTATTTCTTACGGACCGGTATTGTAACTGGGATCCATGAGAATGTCAGCTCTAGAAAAACCGATTTTATGAATTTTGAAAAAAACTATCACAACAAGATATCATTCAATACTTAATTCATAGTTTTCATCTTAATTTCCAAGTAGAAAATTGTATTTTTTTTTTCAGAAAAAAAGAGCAAGAATTTGTTCAGTAACAACGACGCATATACTAGTTTACTGAAAAAGTGTATGGTCATATTTGCAGCCTAGACATTTCACATTTTTGGGCTAACTCTCGTTTTCCGCCCGTCTTTTGTCCACCCCTAGTTATTCAATTTCTCCAAATCCCGTTCCAAATCGCACCTCGTCTAAAAGCTGATGTCCCAAACAGACCGGCTCGGCTTGTTGTTGGTGTCAAAATAGTAGGAATTCCATTTTTAAATTCAATTATTTGTAGAGAAGAAACTTCTTCTTCTTCGCGCTCGCGCGTTTGATGCCGCGTTGAAAAGAACGAAAAGTTTTTTGTGTTGTTATCCGGAAAAGGGGAAATATAACTATAACTGGGCGGTTGATGAGAATCTAAGGTGACAGGAGCAATTGAAGAAAAAAGCCTTCGGGCATTTTGATGAAGTCAGAAATGAGAAAAAATACCGAGACAAAAGGATATCCTTGGGAGTTGAGGAGGAATTGAGAAGGTAAAACGAACACACAATATTAGATATGTATGTTTAAATGTGTTACATTCTGGGCAAATTGTAAAGTGACAAGCCTTCATCTTATCGCCGAGACCAAGCTCCGACATCTCTCAGAATGATAGTGTATGTGTGTGGAGAGGATGGCAGATGAGAGAAAAACATGAGAATCTTTCTGGCCGCAAAACGAACACAGACACGCAATGTTTCAATGAGAAAAAAACACACATAGACACACGCATAGGTGGTCCCCCAACATCAATTTTCTGTTATTTGTAGGATGGCAAACGACTCAACGAGACCGATGATGTGAAAATCAGTGACAACATGCTAGTCATCGAATCACCTGGGGTAAGGATTTGAGGGACAACTTGAAATGTAGTTTGACATGAGGGACGGGATCAAAGAATCCCCACAAAGTGCAGAAAATAGAGAGAAAATTCTTGATTTCTTGAAATTTGGAAATGATACATTTCAAATTTGAAAAATTACAAATTCAGAAAAAATCATACTTGTAAAATTTCGGGCCAGGGCCCGGCCTGGAAGGCTAGGTATTAAAAATCCAGGATTTTGGAGCCAAATTTTGAGCTCTCAATATACTTTTCTGCATTTTCCTGTTTTTTTTTTGTATTGTTTGTCTGTTTGATCGAAAAAATCACACGAGGGTCCCCCCTTATGCGTTTTTTGAAATTTTCAAACTTGTAAAATGACGGGCTTGCTGGGCCGGGCCGGGCAGGCCCTCCAAAATTTTGAAAAAAG